TTTTTGTTGACGTGCTAATGGAGGCATGTGGGAACCCACGTTTTGTATTTTGTTTACAGCAATAACAGAGAAAGCTGTTTTGACATCACACACCATCATGAAACTCAGTGTTCAGTCAAATGGAAAATGTGCAAGGACTTTACATGTTTTGTTTAATGATCTGAGACAAAGGTCTCAAGTCTCAAATGAGTTCTTTGGTTATTTGAGACTTTCCCATGGATAATTTTTTTGTCCAGTCAGATGATTCGTTGACGTGTTCTTGGAGTAATTTTTGTAGGCCAGTCACTCCTGGGGGGCTTTGCTACTGTTTTCTTCATTTGTGGATTGTGGCTCTCACTGTCTCTCCACGGTGACACATTTGTCCATGCGTCACCATGCACAAGGTTTAGAAGTGGCCTAGATGAACCTTTCCAGATGAACAGCTGTCAATGAGTTTGGTCTCATCTGTTGTTGAGGTTCTGCAGATCCTGACATGTGTGATTTTTATTTTAGCTTTGTCTTTAACTTCTCTTTGTCCTCCACACCAAAGTGAAAGACTCATTGCCAGTTATCACAAACTCATGATTGCACTTTCTTGCTGCCAAGGGTGGTATAACCAGTTATTAGGTTTCAGAAGCAATACATTTTTCATGTAGAGCTATTGAAAACTGAATTTTACATGTAATCTGGTTGTTGTTTTTTTCTAATATTAAAATTAGTTTAATGGTCTGAAACATGTAAGTTTGACAAAAGAATGAAATTAGGGCAGGAGTAAATATTTGGAAATTTGACTAAGTCTATTGATTTAATTAAACCATTTTAATTGAGGATGTTAGAACTTCCAAGGCTCGTTTTTAGCACAAGGAGCCACGGGGAAAATCACCGAGCTATGAGGGAGGCTACGACACTGACAAAAGAGAAACACCGGGCTTAAATACACTGACGGATAACAAGGGAATGAAAGACAGAAGGAGAGCACAGCTGGGAGCAATCAGGCTGGACGAGACAAGGGAAGCAAAACTAGAAACACTGACATGATACACAGACCTTCAAAGTAAAACAGGAAACACACTGACTGAACTCTAGACATGTAAACTTAACAGCAACTGGGGAGACGGAACATAGGAACCCGAAACATGGAACAAAAAGTCACAGTAGACACAACATGGAACACAGGGAAGCCATATTACAAAACCTAAGAACTAAACCTATGATAACCATAACTGAAACAGTACAACAAAGGACTCAAAACATAAACCATAATATAAAAAACACAAGAACTCAAAAAGCTGGGTCAGAAAGACCCAGAACCGTGACAGATAGCCAAAGGTAGAGTTTATTTTGCTGACAACTTGACCTCACTGTGTGACCTGAAATTCCTGCTTGGTAGGCCAATTCCAGTGTATAGTGAAGACCAGAGTGATTTCACTCATGCTGGGAAAGGTGTTGTGTGGGAAGACATTATCAGGTTGTTTACTGTAGAAACAAAGCCTTCCCCTTAAATGTCAGCAGAAAGCAGCAGTATCTGGTTTGAAGAGAGGTAGGATCACAGCAGGTTATCTGGATGGACGTTTTCTGGACATCATTCTGACTGACAACACTGGACTTACCAGTCCAATATTTGATGGACTTCTAGTCAACACAAAGAATTCTTAATAATTTTCCATATTGGTCTTATTGAGCATTATGGCTGATTCTGGGTTCCCATTACCACCAGAGGCTTTCTGTCTTCTATGTGCGGACACAGTGAGAGATCCAGTCACTATCCCTTGTGGTGACACTTTCTGCCTGGAGTGCATCAAGATTTACTGGGATCAGTTCGACCACATTGGTGTGTACAGCTGCCCACAGTGCCGTGCAACATTCACACCTCGGCCTGTCCTGAAGCGAAACCTGCCAGATGTATACCATGAGCCACAACGAGAGCTTCCAGAGCTTACTCCTTTCCCATACTTGAATCGTGAAGTCTACTGTGACTTCTGCATTGGCCGTCGCAACAAAGCCGTCAAGTCTTGTCTGATGTGTTTGGCTTACTACTGTGAAACACACGTCAAGCCTCATTATGAGTCATCTACCTTCAAGCGGCACAAACTCGTAGATGAGATGGGTCATCTGGACAGGAAGATTTGCCCACAACATGAGAAAGGTTTGGAGCTGTTCTGCCGCACTGACCAGATGTGTATTTGTGTGCTGTGTACTGTCAGAGAGCACCGCAGCCACAACATTACCTCGGCAGAAGACGAACGCATTGAGAAACAAGTGAGTTTTTTTTTTTGTTGTTGTTATCGCAGAGTCTATCTCAAAATCTTTTAATATTTTTTTTATTTTGATATGAAGTTTTCATCAGTTTTTGCATACATTAGATGATGAAGAGTCACTCTGGAGTCTAGAGCAGGAGTCTCAAATGAGCTGTGGGTCACTGCTGTCACTGTCATCTCATTGGAGGGCCACTTTAGTGTTTGAGAAGTACAAAAACAAAAAAACAAAGAAGAAAACACTGACAAATATGTAGAGTTTTTTTTTTCAAAATTTCAAATATTGTATAACAAGACAAAACTGCAAACAAGACCGCAAATTGTTTTCTCACTCTTAACTAACTGAAGCCTTTCATTGAACAACCAAATAAACACACTTTTACCCTCTTTCTGGCCAGACACGTGGCAGCATTTCTGCTATAATTTTGTTCATATTTAACAAAATAAAAATACAGACACAAGTGTACACTTTAGTTTTTAACT